CGAATCTGCGATACCAGGGAGCATACTCAATCCCGTTAGGGTGAGAAATGTTGAATGCAGTGCATGCATGCTCGAGGGCTCGTGGCCAATATACATGTGACAATCCAGCCTGCAACAAATTGCACCTCGTGCCTTCTGTCGTGGAACGGACTGCCCTTTCGGCCATCGAGTTGGATTGGTGGATATACTTCTTGCTCTTTTCATGCCTCCAACCAAGAGACTTGGCACTACGTTCGAGTTCTTTGGCATTGTCGCTGTAGAAGACACCAACCTTATCCTTACTCGAAACGAAATGTTGAAGTGCAGCCTTACACTCCATTTCATCTTTCAGTGCAGAAGGATACGCATACATGAATGAAGTCGCCACATCCTTGATCACGAGAGCCAATCTAGCTTCTTCAATGACCTCATGATTGTCCCTGTAGATCACCACATGATCGGCGGTAATGTGATCACCGAAGCTGGTGGCTTCGACGGAACGAAAGCCATCGGTCTTGTAACCCGGGGCCTTGTACATCTTAGCCTGATTGCATACCGAACAATAGGGATTCTTAGGGATGTGTGTCATGAGATGATGCAACGAAGTAGCTTCCTTCTTAAGCTTTTCAATTCCCTTAAGAACTTTGGGATCAGAACTGCCCTCCCCATCTGGGACCTTAGACTCTCCGCCAGGAGGTCGTCCACGATCCGGCTTGGGCGGTTCGTCAGGTTCGATGTCTGAGCCGAACTGCATCGATTCATGTGCGACTGAGATGTACTTGCTCGCTGAGTTCAGTAGTTTGCTTTGCCCTGATTATCAAGATCTTCAGGAGCTTGTCGAATTTCAGCGGCTTGGCTAGATTGAATTCTTTCGGGCAAAACCACGGCCGACTTAGGAATTTCTTTTCCCTCTAGTTTTCTAAGAATTCCACCCCACACCCCCCTCATCTACCTAATCTGACCGTAGTTTTTTTTTGTATGGTCTTTTACTTGTTATTGGTTCTAGGCTCGGAAGGCCTAACCGCAGAACCCCGTGTGACAAGGTCCTCAAGCGGCCGTTCGTCCTCAGAATCGGGAGCGAGGGCAGGAATAGCAGTACGCTTAGAGAGATTGAACCCATAACCCCGAAGCTTGGCAATTTCATTGCTCTGAAGCTTGGGAACAGCTCGATTGACGTACGCGGTAATGCTCCATCTATCCCCTTTCCAAGGAAGAACACAGTGAAAACGTTTGGGATCGAACTTCACAAGTTTGTTGTGGGAGACACGTTTCTTGCCGTACAAAGTCTTTAACCCTACCTTCTGGGTAATGACATTGTGCTCTCCCTTTCGGGCAGCGGGGTCGTGAATCCAAAGTTCACCACCTTCGAAGCTGCCGAGACTGATAGTGAAGTTGGTGGAATCTTTCATGTTGTGAGCATCCTTGTGAACCTTAACAGATGAACCATGATTGATGCAAACCGATGAGCAATCTCCCGTCATTCCATGATTCTGGAGGAATGCATTGATGTACCGGGTAGAATGGGCATACTTCTGCGTACGGTTAGTAATGCCCTGGACGCCACCATGTGCGAAAGCGCCAAGCACAAGATACTCGACGTTTCCGTCGGTGCGACCCTCGTGGTTTGTAATTGACTTACGATTGCTCTTAGAGGGCTTGCAGTTCATAGATTGCAGTAGCTTCAAGCAAGGCTTACACTGGAAGTCAAGGTTCTCAAGTAACTCTTTTGCAAGTTTCTCTGAATCCTCAATACTCTTGCCAGGCTTTTCAGCCGGCGGTGCAGGGAGGCTGGGCTCTGGACAGCGTCGCGCAGGAAGCGCGATGTTTTCCTTCCAGGATTTCAGGTAAGGCACATTGTCCTTCACATCGAGGTAAATCTTGTTCCCGTTGTGATCCCTGAAGTAAGGTCTACAATTAGCTCTCCAGATGAAATCAAACCCTTCCTCCATGCACTTCTGTCCAACCGAAAGAACGGATGGTGAATCGGGAAGAACATATGGTTCAGCGGTCGTGTTGATCGAAGGGATCCTAACCTTACACTGCTTGTCAGCGTAGTTTGGACCATTTGCAGTAATCATGTTGATGGGTCGATCCGATGTGAAATTCTTACATCACCGAGACCTTCTAGAGATCGATCCTGAAGCACTGCACAGTGTCGGCCATACATTTTCATCTCAATCAACGGGATCGGACTTGTTTACCCTGTCGCAGGAAATTCCGACGAAATGCCGGGAGCAATGCAAATGGGAACAACCGAAACCTCAGCTCTACACTTGAACTTACATGCGGGATTCGCACCCTGATGCATTTCCTTAAAGTTGACCTCAGCATCTAGCTGTGCCAAAGCCATACACCGAACATACGCCATTCAAGCTTGTTGGGGCTTTAGTTAACAGGAAATCTTAATGAAAACTACTCGGCTCGACCGGCAACTTTCACGACAGTTGGAATTCTCCGCAGGTCAGTGGGGGATGTAATGATACTCAGGAGCGTTCGAGAATCTTACAGACGCCAAAGCAACATGAGCGGCGCTCGTGCACGAGTCAGCGTAGTTCGGCATTTCCTTCCGGAAAGCGTGTGCATCGGCTTGGGATGCCGAACCTGCGACAAGTGCGCCTAAGAGGCAAACGGCGGCTGGAAGCGAAGTCTTAGGTTTCCGCCCCCCCGAGCCCTTACTGTTCCCAGAGCCTTTGCTCCCTTTGGAGCCTCCACTGCTCTTGGAACCCTTAGAGCTGGAACGAGACTTCTTCCTATGCTTCTTTTCTTTCTTCTGTTTCTTACTCTTCTTTTCGCCGCTAGACTCTCTACCGCTACCAGTGGCAGGAGCAGAAGGCTGGCCTTTGTGAATGAAACGGCACTTGTCACCCTTGTTGCATTTGCCATGCTTGAAGAATTTGCACTCGGCATTAATCTTCCCAGGAGATGGGCTCCCCCTTCCGGAGGGCGACTTGCCTCGGCCTTTACCTTTGCTTGGGGTCCTACCACGTGGCTTCTCGGGTATCTGATGCTTATAAGAACATTTGTCTTTGTTGCACGAACCGTTCCGAACAAAGTCAATGCAGAAGCCTTTGGGCACACGCTTTAGCGGCGCGGGTGCCGATGGCATACCTGCTGCGGCCTGCCTTGCAATCCGTTCCCGGTTGCGCTTCAGCGTTGTCGGATGACCCAGGTTTAACGGCATTGTAAAAATAAGCATAGGATTTCTCGGTGTGCCGTCTACTGCCCTTTCATAGATGGCGATGTCGTGCGCCAAAAGCTTACACTTCTTAACCTGTCTATGAAACAAGGGTTGCAAAACATCGTCAGCAGGTGCTTTCTTCATGCCTGAGAGAACAGTATCCCAGTTACGCACGAATTGCACAAGGTTTTCGTTAAGCATGACGACATTGAGCAGATCCTCCATATCGTACACAGACCCGTGGAGTGCGTTGGTCGACAAATAAGCATTGAGCTTATGCAGAATCTGACGGCCACGAACTAAGCGCCCTTCGTGCCCTTCCCTCTCTTTAAAAGTGTCAATCTGGCGAGCAAAATCACCTTCCAGAATGTTCGTGATTGCCGAGAGGATCTTCGCATCAAGTGTTGTGAATCCGTTAGGATCACGAAGGGACTCTTCCGTGGTATCATCCTTCCACACTTCACCGAGCCACTCGAAAGCCTCATCGGGACGGTCAGAGGCGGCGACCACAGCCTCGCGTGCGCGAAGCCTCCAGTTACGATAGTTCTCTGGCTGGGGAAACTTTGGAAACACAATCTTCTCAGCTTCCTTCACCTTGGGCCTTCCCCTTGTCGCCTCGGTTTCCTCGACATCATCCTTGTCTTTCTTCGACTTAACGACTTTCTTGAACATCTTCAGGAGGTCCTTTTTAGATAGGGAGATAGACGACGATGATGATGAATCAGATGAGTCTCTTTTCTTTTTCTTCTTTTTGTCCTTTTTCTTTTTCTTCTTCTTGTCGCGGGAATCGTCTTCGGGCTCATCCCCGTCGCCGTCGCTTTCGGGAGGCGAGTCACCTCCACCTCCGCCTGGCGGACCACCATCTACTTTACCCAGACCCGGAGGGGTGTGAATAGGGTGTTCAATGGGCGACTGATCTCCTACGGCAGTTGGTGAATATGCCGTGGCTTTCGCCAGGCGATCACGAAGCTCCGCATTGGTACGCTCAAGCTTCGTCATCGATTCAGCCTGTTGGCGGTGCACTTGCATGAATGCACCCATCTCAGACTTAAGTTGGCTTAGTTCGCCATTCATGACTGCAACGGTATCTTGGCTAGCCCGGCTTCGATTAGCCAACTCTCTCTCAGCTTGGGCTACAACGTCAGAGACTGTAACTTCAGCCTGATGAAGCCTGAGCTTGTAGTCTATGGCTTCACGTCGCATCTGCGACAACTCATCGCTGTGTTTATTAGCCATGCTTTCGCCGGCTGCTCGAAGCATTTCTTCTTTCTGTTGCAGACGACTCTCCGCTTGGGCAAACTCCAACCGAAGTTGGGCAGCACCGGATAGCGCTTGTGCATGAAGCTGATTAAATTGCTCCCTATGCAAATTGTTTGCTTCCGCCATGATCAATCTGTGGCGTGCTTCAGCTTCAGCTGCAACGGCTGGTCCTGTGTCAACTTGATGCACATGGACTGCTTGCTGCACCGTTGGTGCAAGGACATTTTGTTGGTAGTAGTTCGCGACGTTTCTGATCTCGCTGGGTGAATATTGGGCCGTATTATGTTGTTGAGGCGATCCCGCCAGGGATGCGAGCTGGTGCGCTGGGCTTGAGACATAGGCCCATTC